GCTGGGCATGGTGGCGCGTGCCTGTAATCCCAGCTACTCGGGAGGCTGAGGCAGGAGAATTGCCTGAACCCAGGAGGCGGAGGTTGCGGTGAGCCGAGATCGCGCCACCGCACTCCAGCCTGGGGGATGGAGCAAGACTCCGCCTCAATAAATAAATAAATAACAGCAAAACCAACATGCGGAGGGAGCCTGAGACAGGAGTGCGAGCTGGTGGTCAGCACGGGGAGAGGCACAGACGCTCCTCGGAGGCAGAAGCTGGTTCCTTACAGCGGTGGAAAGAAAGAAGCCGACTCTGGGGAGACCGGAGAACAGAAACACAGGAGGCGGAAATAAATACTGCGGATGGCGACAGAGGCAAAACAAAACGTCCCCTGCTCCAAATCCGCGGCGGAGCGAGTGCTGGCAGAAGGGGGCGTGGGAACCTCCGTTCCCAGCCGGGCTTCCAGGGAGCCAGACACGGAGGCCCAGGACTCCGCCAGCGGTGAGTCCGTTCCCCTTCTTGGAGGAAGCGTGACCCACAGAGACCCACAGGCCCCACGGGAGAGCAGTGCCACCCCGTGACATTCCACAAGGCCCCGCTGGCCGGCCCTGCCCTGCTCCAGACAGCGGCACACAGGCAAGGCCCTGCAGCCTGAGGCCCGGGGACCCCGGCCTTCCCCCAAGGAGGCTGCGAACAGACAGGCTTCCTCGGGGAGCCTCGGCAGGAGATGAGCAGAACGTCCACGGAGCCAGGGACTGCGGCACCCGCGAAGTCTCGGGTCACGCCTGCGGCACCTGGACCCGAACCCGGCACCGGCAAAGGCACGCAGCCTACGAGCGGCCCAGAGAGCGAGCCGGAACCAGAGAGCCGGAACCCGAGCGCGGAACCAGAGCGCCCCGGCGGCAACGGAGGCCACCGCGGGCGCCAAAGCAGTAGCGCCCCCTGCGGACCGGCGGCCGCCGCGCAGAAGCAGGCTGGGCTCGGAAACACGTGCTTTACAGATGGGGAAGTGAGTGAGACGATGCCCGAGACAAAGTCCGCAGCCTGGCGCAGGTGAAGACCACCGCGAAGAGGAAGCTCGCAGCCAGAGCTGAGTGACAGGCTGCGGGCGGGCTGGAGGGTGGCCGGGCGCGCGGGAACCTTCCCTGCAAAACCAGCAGCGGGGCACACGCGTGGAGAACAGGAGACCAAGAACAGCGTAAAATGTCCTCGAGCGGAAGGAACGCTGCTGAGTGTGAGCGTGAGATTGCAAGCACCCACAAATTCAGGCAAGGCAGGTGAGGAGGGACACAGGCCTGCGCATCCTGGAAAGCTCTTGGACTTGAAAGATGAAAATAAATGATCCTGGGAAGATCTTGAAAGATCGAGACCAGCCTGGGCAGCATAGCGAAACTCTGTCTCCAAAAAAAAAAAAAAAAAGTTTTTAAAGACATAAGCCTATTCATAGAAGGATTTCAAATCACACCACTCCATATAACAAAAATTAATTTTGTTTTTCTAGTATGAATCCCCAGAAGCAGATGAGACAGATCCAAGCTCAAGTGGTTTACTTAGGAGGTGGTCCCAGGAGACACTGGTGGCAGGGGACGGGTGACGTCGGCAGGGAAGGCTGCCAGTGAAGGGTCCAGCATCAGGGTGACCACTGCGACCCATTGGGGCTCAGTCCCTGGCACTGCCATGGTTTATACCAGCTCTAGCCGGTTATGGGAGGGGGATGCTTCTATGGGGCACTAATTCCTGGCACTTCCTGCTGCTGCAGGGTAGGTGGCTTTGGTGGAAAGATGGTCTGCATGGCCTGCAATGCAAGACCCAAGGGGCTCTGATGGCCCCCATGGCACCGCTGCAGTCCACCCCTGGCAGCTTCAGACACACTCATGCCCCACACTGAGCTCACACTTTGCTGTCTCTGGGTCTTCAAGGTGACAATTGCCTGCGATAATTTCTGAAAAACAATAAATAATTTCTAAACAAAAAATAATTTCTAAAAAATGGAAAGAAGTCTTAGAGCAGAAACATTTTGGGCTGGGCAAGGCTGTGGCTATGGCAGTCAGCCCTCGCTCTCAGCCTGGACACTCGGCCCCTGGTGAATAAGTCATGTCAGGGAGAACCCGTCTGGTGCCCCATCTCCAGGATACGTGTGCTCCTTTGTACATATATTAAAAAATTCATTTTGAAAGGAACAAAAAAGCTCCACTGCCCTCCTTCATGTCTGTGATTTCTTGATTTTCAAACACTGAATGGCTTGTTTTGCTCCTGGAGAGATGTTTTGGCGCCTCTGCTGTGCTTGGGTTGGCAGTGAAAGTTTTCCTGATTTAGGACCCTGTTCTCAAATGTTTCGGATGTTGGGTGTCTGTGAGGGTCCCATGGTTATGAGCCATGGAAAGAGGCTTCATGTGACTCAGTGCACACAGAGTTTGTGGGTGGAATTGGGGGCCGCTGAGCTCGGGAGGGGAAGCTGCAGGGGGCCAGGGCTCTTGGGAGCAAAAATTGATGATGGTTGAGGCTCATGTCCTCTGGGACAGAGCCTGCGTCTCCTGGAGCGAGGGCTGCATTCCGGGGGCTAGCGGTCCTTGGCCCACCCATCACAAGGTGGCCAGGACATTGGATGGATAGGGCGGATGAATTGAGGAACACCCTAGGCAGGGATGCAGGGAAACCCACAGCTGCCCATGCCAGGCCCTCTGCATGGGCAGGAACAGACTTCCCGGCTTCTCGTGTGCCCGCCTCCTGTTCCCGCCCACATCACCCCTGCACCCATGCTCAGCGCTTTGCAGTCCCATCTCCATCTTAGATAAATATTTTCACTATTTCTTCTTTTTTCTTCTTTTTACAAATAGAAATGAGGTATCACTGTGTTTCCCAGGCTGGTCTCAAACACCTGGCCTCAAGTGTCCTCTCTCCTCGGCCACTCAGATGCTTACAGATGTGAGCCACTGCACCCAGACCATTTCATATGTCTCTTTTCTTCAACTTTTTAAATTTTTTACCCAATAACAAATAACCAACCAATCTTGAATTTTTGCACAGACGTCCTAACCCTTCTGGAACCTGCATGGCAGCACAAGGTGAGGGCAATTCCTCACCACTCACCCATCTTTGTAGGATGGGGTCTGCCCTGCCCTCCACGTGTGGCCCATGGACATCCAGGCTGGCTCCGCCTTGACTCACCTGGGCCCTGCTGGCCTGGCTCGCTTCAGGACCACCCTGTAGCCTCAGCCAAGAATCATGTCCAGGCAGGAGAGGAGGAGGTGAGGATGCTGGTGTGGGCGGGAGGCGGGCAGTGGTTCCTTGGTGCAGCCCTGGAGAGAGGCTGTCACTTTGCAGGCTCATCCCCCTGGAGGCCTGTCCAGCTTGAATTTGTGGCTCCTGGGGCATGTTTATCACTCCAGTGTGGTGGCCTCTCCTCCCTCACTGTGGCCGGCCTCCCCATGTCCCAGCGACCCCAGCGTCTGCATATACCATGGCCTTGGGAATGTGCCCATGGGAAAGCCAGGGTGGGGGCAAGGATCTCAGAGACCAGGGCCAGCTCTGCCTTGCTCTGGGGGTGATGATGGAGGCACCAGTGTCCCTCTCTCCAGCGCTGCCACTGAGCCCAGGCTTCTAAAGGGGGCGGCTCGGAGGATCCCTCTGAGATCATCCTGGGGCGGGAGCCATGCGGTGGCCCCATGGCTGCAGCCCTGATGCTGTGTCCCCACTCCCGCCCTCCTCACTGGCTTCCCAAACACTCCTGCCCAGGGCCCTGCCCATCTCAAGCTGAACCTGAGACCCGAGAGCGGCTCTGCAGGAGGCCCCCCCCAGGACACGGCGTGGCCCCACAGGCCAGTTGGATGTCATGCCTCTTGTGGTTGCCAACGTCTTCCCAGCTTCCCTGGTGGCTCCCCCTCCCAGCAGGCCTCCCAGGGAGCCGGCGCAAGCCCCTCCATCCCCACAGATAGGCCACCCAGAGCTGGGGAAGAAGCTGTTTATTTGGTGTCAGGCAGGTGGGTCAGGGAAGGCTCATGGCTGGAGGGTGGGTCCAGGCGGCCCGGGCTCCATGTCTGGCAGCAGGGTGGACTCTGGAGGTGCAGACCCGGGGACCACTGTGCTGGGAAGAGGAGAAGAGGTCAGGGAGGCTGCAGGGTAGAGGCCAGGGAGGCTGCAGGGTAGAGGCCAGGGAGGCTGCAGAGTAGAGGCCAGGAAGGCTGCAGGGTGGGGCAGAGGACACGCCCAAAGCTCCCTCCCCAGGCTCCACAGCCCCCACATCGGCCATTGCTGGGCAGCCTCGGGGCTTCAGAGCGACCTCAACTCCTCCAACACCTGAGCAGGCCTCTGAGCAGCCTCAGTGGGTGGGGGAGGGGGAGTGGACCAAGTGGGGACAGGTGCAGGGGGCAATGGGCCGAGCTGACACCTGAGGAGCCCAAGGGTGGCCTCGCTGTGGACGGGCTGAGGAGGACCCTCACTCGGGCTGGCAGGCCCAGGGACAGGTGAAAGAAAGGACTTCCCAAAAGTCCCAGGAATTGCGGGTGGGCAGACTCCAAGGTGCCAACCTCCTGCCTGGGCCGGGAGGTCTCCCTGCCTGTGTGGGATGGCAGGGGCCAGAGCAGACAGACCCTCGAACCCTGGGAGCAAGGCCCACTCACCCTAGTGTTCGGGAACGCAGCTTCCTGCAGAGACCCAGAAAAAGCCAGTGATGAGAAGATGCCCTGGCCCAGGGCCCAGACCCCGTCACAGCCCAGGGCCCAGACCCTGCCACCATGAGGACCCTAAGCAGGAGCCCCTGTGAGGAGACTCGGGGCACACGGGGACACGGGGGTCATGGGACACTGGAGGTCACAGAGAGACACACGGGGCACATGGGGGACGGGGGACAGGGCACATACATCCTCTCACCCATCTGTAGGGGCATGAAAATAATCCCCTCTGAGAGTCCCTTGCGCTGCACGAGTTTCTTAAATTCTTCCAGGGCCTCCAGGTTGGTGTCAGGATTCCGACCTGCAGGTGAGGTGACCAGGTCAGCTGAGGTGGGGACAGCGGCCTG